GTTACAGAGTCACATGCTTGTGGATCCATGATTGTGTTGGTTACAGAGTCACATGCTTGTGGATCCATGATTGTGTTGGTTACAGAGTCACATGCTTGTGGATCCATGATTGTGTTGGTTACGGAGTCCAATGATTGTGGATCCATGATTGTGTTGGTTACAGAGTCCCATGCTTGTGGATCCATGATTGTGTTGGTTACGGAGTCCCATGATTGTGTTGGTTACAGGGTCCCATGATTGTATTAGTTACAGAATCCCATGATTGTGTTGGTTACAGAGTCCCATGATTGTGGATTCAATATTGTGTTGGTTACAGAGCCCCATGATTGTGGATCCATGATTGTGTTGGTTAGAGAGTCCCATGCTTGTGGTTTCATGATTGTGTTGGTTACAGAGTCCCATGCTTGTGGATCCATGATTGTGTTGGTTACGGAGTCCCATGTTTGTGGATCCATGATTGTGTTGGTTACAGAGTCACATGCTTGTGGATCCATGATTGTGTTGGTTACAGAGTCCCATGGGGTTAGTTGTTCTAGAGTATAACTTGTACTGTAATAGAAAGTTTCAGGTTTAGTTGTTCTCCAGTCTAACTTGTACTGTTATACAAGTTTCAGGGTTAAGTGTCCTACAATCTACTTGTACTTACTGGAAAGTTATAGGGTTAAGTGCTCTACAATCTAATTAATACTGTAATAGAAAGTTTCAGGGTTAAGTGTTCTACAATCTAACTTAAACTGTAATAGAAAGTTTCAGGGCTAGTTGTTCTAGAGTCTATCTTGTACTGTATTTGAAAGTTTCAGGGTTAGTTGTTCTACAATCTACTTGTACTTGCTAGAAAGTTATAGGGTAAAGTGTTCTACAATCTAATTAATACCGTAATAGAAAGTTTCAGGGTTAGTTGTTTTACAGTCTTACTTGTACTGTTATACAAGTTTCAGGGTTAGTTGTTCTACAATCTAACTTGTACTGTAATAGAAAGTTTTAGGGTTAGTTGTTCTACAGTCTAACTTGTACTGTAATAGAAAGTTTTAGGGTTAGTTGTTCTACAGTCTAACTTGTATTGTTATACATGTTTCAGAGTTAGTTGTTTTACAATCTAATTATCTATGAAAGTAATGACTTTCACATGATACACAGCACATTTTCTTTACTAGGTAGAAAATAAAAACAGATCAATAAGGTAAGAATGTATTTCATATGATAATAAACTGAATATCGAATCTCTGCAAACTGATATGATAGAAATATTAAATTATTATTATTCTCGCTCCTGATTCTGCCAATATTATTTACCACACATTTTCTCACCTTGTTGCTCTCACTAACGCTGATGGACTTAGGGCTGGGATTTGGGGAACTGGTCCAGATGGGAGAGGGATGATGATTGCAAACAGAAATTGTAGAAGTTCCAAGCCCTGGTTTAGAGTGAGGTACTCTTTCTGGGGCACACTGCAGTTTGGGTGTTAACAGGGGTTCATAGTTGTCTGACCCGGGAAGTGGGCTACAGTTGGATCTAACCAAGCCTACAGAGGGAGGACAGGAAACGATCACAGTATATTTTACATTGATGTGTTATGGAACAGGGAAATAATATTTCGAGTAATGGTCACCTCAAAATATTTATACTTTGTGTTAAATATCAGTATAACAGCAACACTGTGGAATACATAATTATATTCAGAAAAGAAAAGCTAATAACAATTAGAATATATTTTTAATTAATGTTGGAATTTTCAAAACACAGTAATAGAAAAAATAACTACCAAACATAAAACAACAATTTAACTGCTCAGTCGTCCCCTCGGTATATCAGCGGAAAGTTTCTGCACTTACGATGCTACAATCCGGGGTTCGATACCCCGCGGTAGACAGATCACAGATAGACCATTGTGTAGCTTTGTGCTAAAAACCAACTAGCAACAAGTGAACAGAAATTAAATGTAATAATTTTTTCGTTTAATATATTTCTTCTACCAGAACACAAGAACCGAAACATGATGCAAGTTAATACTTATAAGTTCCTTTTTTAGTTCTGAGTTACCTTACATTCGGTGAGAGGTTATAGATAATGTTACGACAGCGGAAGTCACGTGACGCTGGTGACACGTAATGAATTTCTCGGATGATCATGAATGATCGAGGAGACCCGAGTGTATTCGAGATACCCCCCCCCCCTTCGTTGGTATTTTAGCCTGGCAGAGAAAGCCAATAATTAATGAATGAATGAAAAGAGTTCCGGGTAATTTACGATTCTGTTTCGAGCTAGTGTGTGTGTGTTTTGCACTCGTAGAAAGCGAAATTATCAAGATTGTGAATCGCTATGATTTATAGCGTGTATTATAAAATTAGTTAAGTTTAAAGTGACGAGAAACGTACTGATTGTGAAATTACTGTGTGCTAAAAGTTTGTATCGAGGAAGAATAAACTGGTTTAACCAAGAAAGGACTTGTATCGCTGAAGTTTCTCGAAAAGAATTTCTACCGGAAAATAACAAACAAGCAGATACGTAACAATATTGTTACCGTATGTTTTATAGTTCATTTCTAGCCTCCATCCCATTCTGTCATCTATAAGTTTGATTTTTTTAACTCATTTTATTACCATTCCTATAGAAATTAACCAAGAGCTCATAAAATATCTGCTCTATTCCCACCTGATTAGTTTCATAGCTGTATATCTGATTTCAGATCTACTTCAGTCTGAGTAAAGTTATTAGTCTCAGTAAGGTTATCAGTCTAAGTAAACGTATTAGCAAAAGTAAGATTATTAGTCTGAGTAAGCCTGTTAGTCTGAGTAAGCTTGTTAGTTTGAGTAAACTTATTAGTCTGAATAAGCTTGCTTGTCTGAGTAAACTTATTAGTCTGAGTAAGCTTGTTAGTCTGAATAAACTTATATAGATAGAAAAGTAATAGACGTTTTATACAAATCGTAGTTGTTATCCATTAAATCACTAACTCGTTAATATACCATTCAGTATGCGTGGAATCCACGTATTGAGTAGCTTAATGTTTGTGGCTGTTAAACAATACAATTTGGAGAATTCACACTGTAACTAACACAACCATGGATCCACAAGCATGTGACTCTGTTACCAACAAAAGAATGGATCCACAAGCATGTGACTCTGTAACCAACACAATCATGGATCCACAAGTATGGGACTCTGTAACCAACACAATCATGAAACCACAATCATGGGACTCTGTAACCAACACAATCATGGATCCACAATCATGGGACTCTGTAACTAACACAATCACAAGCATAATATTTTATCAAGAAAAGCATGAAACCACACATACAAGCATCATATTTTATTGGGAAAAGCATGAAACCACACATACAAGCATCTTATTATATTGGGAAAAGCATGAAACCACACATGAAAGTATCATATTTCATTGGGAAAAGCATGAAACCACAAAAATATAGAAAAGAAAAAAGTTCTTCCTGATGCCCCAAAGACATGTGATATCATGAATGGAGAAAGAGATGACAGTATTTCAAGCCTATCTCAAGGCGTATTGATGTAAACTCTACTGGCATAAAAAATCAACTGATAAAACACATCCAAAACAGTCATTCAACTTGATGAAACCACAAGTTTAGCTCAGCTCTGGTATTAGTACGATACTATTACAAAGAGGAAGTGTGTAAAGAGTATCTGTTTTGACAAAAACTCAAAGGGAGACTTACAGGGAAGCCAACTTCTCTCCTGTTGATTTGTTTTCAACACAAACAATCTTTCTTGGGTTAATTGTGTTAGGGCAGACAAGGAAAGGTTCAGAGCCAAATTAAATGCTCTTGCTCTAGGTGTAACATCTACACATTGCATCATACACAGTGAATCACTAACTTCAAAGAAATTGCTTCCAGAAGCAAACAAAGTGAACTTTGTGAAATCAAATCTGTGAACAGCAGGATCTTTCCATTCTTTATGGAGAAATTGGATCAATGTACGATAAGCTCCTTCTATATGCAGAGGTGCGCTGGTTGTTTCTAGCTGGAAGCTACTCAATCACATTGTGCAGCTGAACTTTATATTTTTTGATAGACTGCAACCCCACACTAACAGGACATTTAATGGATAAAAGTGTTTTCTATTATTCAACGACCTTAACTTGTCTCTTCAAGGTCGGATAGCAATATTTGCCATAGTGACAAAGTGTCTGCATTTCGCAAAATACTGAGCTGTGGAAAAAACAAATTTGAAAATGGAAATAGGGAAATGTTTCCTTGCCTCAGTGAATTATTGGAAGAAAATGAGTCAAATCATAGTCTTATTGGTGACGTTATTTCTATTCATCTCGAAAAACTTCGGTGTAAATTTGCATATCATTTCAAGAATGAACGGAAGAACATGATTGCATTAGAATTAATTTAATATTATCATAACTTCTCATCTGCCAATGGAAGCTCAAGAACAACTAATAGAACTATCCAATCACAAAATTCATAAAGGAGAATGCAAATCAAAACCTCTTGGGAACTTATGGAATACCCTAATTTGTCAAGAAAAATGATGGACGTGGTTTTGCCTTTCACACCAACTTATCTGTGGTCTCACAGCTACCTAAACAAAATACCAATTTCGTCTGCAGGTAGAAGGGTATCTCCGAGTTGCTGTGTTAACAGTTCAGCCAAGATTGGAACTCATCTCAAGCTCAAGTCCACTTTTTATATGAAATTATTGAGTAAATTCAAACTGTTTGTCTTATGCTATACAATACTTTGTTTGTGTGTTTGTCAGCAAGATTAATCGAAAACGGCTGGATGGATTTGGACGAAAGTTGGTATACGCTTGAACTATGACCCAAATTAGAAATGATTATTTTTTTGGAGGTCAAGATCAAAGCTCTAGGTCACGAAAATCCGAAATATTCCTATCTGTTACCATGGGGACCAAGTTTTCACACTATGTTTGCTCTATAACTCAATCAAACTTGGTGGACATATAACATAACATAATATTTTATGACAACACAGGACCTATTGGTCCATCTCGGCTGTTCCATCCTCAAAACTAAATTAAAATGATTAAATAATAATAATAATAAAACTTTAAACCCAACCCTTTTCATTCATTCATATACTTAAAGCTTTTTCTTAAAAATCACTTGAATTTACTCTCTCTACAACATCTGAAGGCAACCCATTCCAAAAGTTAACTACCCTGTTAGAAAAATAAAACTTTAAACCCAACCCTTTTCATTCATTCATATACTTAAAGCTTTTTCTTAAAATCACTTGAATTTACTCCCTCTACAACATCTGAAGGCAACCCATTCCAAAAGCTAACTACCCTGTTAGAAAAATAAAACTGTAAATATTGTTCTTCATTTCCTTCCAAAAATAGTCCGTATCCATTGATAACAACGGACACATTTTGTATTTTTTTTAGGGCTCAATATGATCAACGCTGCGTGGCAGAGGCATGCACTCTACTGAGTGTCCCCTATAGTTTATATATGTTTTTGAGATTTTACGTACATTCTTCACTAATGTTTTTGAGATTGTTATACAAATTATCAAGTAATATTTTAGAAGCTGCTATATACATTATTAAGCAATATTTTTTAGGTTTCTATATATTTTATTAAGTAATGTTTTTGAGGTTGCGACATATATCATTAATAATGTTTTCAAGATATTAAGTAATGTTCCTACATATGTTATTAAGTCATGTCTTGGGGTTATTACATACGTTATTAAGTAATGTTTTATTGTTCTTGAAAGTCTAAATCTACTGAGATTGAGTACTCACCTCGATCTCTCCTGTGATGTTTTGTGCTCGGAACTTGTACTGTAATAGAAAATTTCAGGGTTAGTTCTAGCATCTAACTTATACTGTATTAGAAAATTTCACATACAAGCATCATATTGTATTGGGAAAAGCATGAAATCACACATTGTGGTGTCACGATTTTCCCAATAAAATATTATGCTTGTATGTGTGATTTCATGCTTTTCCCAATACAATATAATGCTTGTATGTGTGGTTTCATGCTTTTCCCAATAAAGTATGGTGCTTGTATATGTGGTGTCATGTTTTCTCAATAAAATATTATGCTTGTATGTGTGGTTTCATGTTTTCCCAATAAAATATGACACTTGTATATGTGGTTTCATGCTTTTCCCAATAAAATATGATGCTTTTATGTGTGGTTTCATGCTTTTCTTAATAAAATATGACACTTGTATATGTGGTTTCATGCTTTTCCCAATAAAATATAATGCTTGTGTGTGTGGTTTCATGATTTTCCCAATAAAATATGATGCTTTTATGTGTGGTTTCATGCTTTTCTTAATAAAATATGACACTTGTATATGTGGTTTCATGCTTTTCCCAATAAAATATGATGCTTGTGTGTATGGTTTCATGCTTTTCTTAATAAAATATGACACTTGTATATGTGGTTTCATGCTTTTCCCAATAAAATATGATGCTTGTGTGTATGGTTTCCTGCTTTTCCCAATACAATATGATGCTT